TTTATCCGATTTGCACAGCGTATTGAAGTTACTATAAGTTGGGAATATTATTGAAATTGCTTCAGGTTGACGTCCGTGAAGTTTTGCTGAAATCGGTTCAGATTTAGATATAGCTCCTACACTACATTCTGAACTATGGTAATATTTCGCGATATTTGGACCCTATTTACCGAATAGAGGTCAATAAATATTATTAATATTCAGTGCAGCTCTTCTAATTACTTGCTCATATTCTCTTCACCGTGGGTTGTGTTGTGATGTTCGGCTTTCAACTGTGGCCTATAGATGGACTCGAAAAAACACAAAAAATTAAATTTTCGGCCCACTTCTTCCCAATATTATTATCTGATCATCATATTATTATCTGATTATAGGCGCTGTCCTTGAACATACCTGGATCCTCATGGAACATTTTAAAGCGATCAGCGCTATATTTTCGCCCTCTAGTGCGGTAATGGGTTACTAAATAATATATGAATACGTAAGCACCTGTATATATTTAAGTGTAAGTTCCACATCCGAGTACATACTACCATATACTTGGTATTTATTAAAAGGTCAACCACTCCTCTTGGATATAATATCAATTTATTGGATCTATGTCCTTAAGGAGTAAATATATACGCTATGGAATACACATTTTGTAATTTTTCACACAAAAGTCAGGGTCCATTTGACTCGCTAAATCAAAACAGGATCTTTATCAAAACAGGCATGCTTATTCTTTGGCCCGATTCTCTTCTGCTTGTAAAAATTCGCAATGTTTCGACCATAATTGCGGCCTCTGGAGCGACCAAAAAATCAGATATTATTAACCGATCTTTACCAAAAACAATTAGGGGTCTTCATTGACCAGAACCCATCCTACATGCATCGTGAAGATTGGTCCATAACTGTGGCCTGTATCGTGTGTACAAATTATAATGGACAGACGGACGGACATACATGTCTAGATCGACTCAGCTAGTCGAGATATGACGATCGGTATACTTAGTGGTGGGTCTAGGACCAATATTTTACTGCGTTACAAACTCTTGGGGCTGCACAAAGCTATAATTCCCTGACAACATAGTTGTGTAGGGTATAATGACTAAAGTTTGTCTGCTTCGGACGAACCTAGAATAACGTGTATTGGATTTTGTGTCGACATAAATTTTGGATAGCGCATTGTGTTTCAACATACCAACCAAATGGTCCATTTATATATAGATCTTATACTAATTTTGCTCCATGATTCACATTCAATTTTTCATAAATTTGAGACTTCAAATATCTATTCATCTTCAGATAGTTTCATCCGATTCCATTTCAATGGTCCTCAAAAGATGTTATGTCTATTCGATTTATATCATATTGTGCATATGAGCATCTCTTGTATGTACCAAAAGTTGTGAAGGGTATCATATCATCATATAGTCGGCCCAGTCCGCCTTTACTACTTTCCTTACTGGTTTATATTTTGGTCCAAATACCCAACTTTGAATTTTCTTTTATTTAAATTTTTTTCGACTTAAAAAAGAAATAAAAATTAAAACTCGCCGCTTGTAATTTCAGTTATACTTATGTTTTTGTTGTGGAAAATAATGTATACGTTTTAGTTAACAATTTTACCCGTACGCAATCTTGAAGAACACATTCATCTGTAGTCTTTAAAATATATATCATGTTCTGACAACTCTAAAATCACTCCATCACGTCTATACTCCTCCCAACTTGGCAAAATAAATACCAAACCTTACCTTGCCTTGAACAATTTACACCACCATCTACTTAAGTTTATCTAACTATAAAAAAACTATTTTATTACATCTTAGTCCCGCAATATAAATCAAAAACGAAAAGCTTTATAGTCATACAAACAAGAGAACACAAAAAACTTAAATATGTTTTTATTTATTTCTCTTTCAATGTTTCTTTCTTCAGTACTGCGTTTTTAGTTGTTTTCCTTCGTTTTCTTTTATAGACATTGTCTGTAGACAACTCCCTAAATAAGCAAAAAAGCTAATTTTTTGCACAAACCACGTTTTGTCTATTTCTTTTGATATGTCCTTGTACTCGAGGGACATATCACTCACTCATTCATTCACACACTCGCACACTCACATTGACGACATCTCAGCAAAAACGAACAAAGTACTTCAACACCTCCTCGACTATTTAACGATACATCAAACAAAGTGGATTCGTTTATTACGCGAGAGTGACAAGAGTAAAAAACCCAAAATAGGCAAGCAACTACAGTGGACCCTATATAGAAATACAGTTTGGAAAAGGTAGTCTATTTTAGTATTATTTCCAGTAGTTTTTAGAAAATCTTCCATGGAGAACACCAGTGCCAGTTTCCACTGTGCATTTGTTTTATTTTTTTTTCATCATCGCCATTGTCATACAAGTCTATCATTGGGATCATATCATTCATCAACCTTATAGTTCTCTGTTTGTGTGTGTGTGTGTTTGCTTGCGTGGGTGAGCACACATGCTGTAAGCTGTGGTCTCATGAATATCCAACGTATCTGTATTATGGAACGTATTAAATTTATGTTTGCTATTGCTCAAAATGATATAATGGATTTGCCAGGGAGTCAAAAAATATTGCATGGTATGTGGTGCCCAAGGAGTATGTAATACCAAAATGGCATTTTTTTAAGATACTCAGGGTTTATATAAATTAAAGAAAGAAAATAGACTCCACAACAATTGGTGCACATGTGTGCCATTTGGTAATTTAATATAGTAATATTTGTTAAAATTGCATTAGGGTACCTACTTCACACTTGATTTTTTCAAATTACATCAGTCTGTCTGGTCGAATCATAAATCTGTCGAACTAAGTTGGTGCAGGTTTGTTTTTCCGTTTGCCACTCATCGAAATAATCGTTTCTGACCCTATATAGGATACATGTATGATCTTGATTAGCGCAAAATGCTATGAAGATCTAGCCATGTACCTATGTCTGTTGTAATCACTCTTAGCCACTACACAAATTGATATAGATCGCCAAAAGTTTGCATAGAGTTGTCCTTTGTCTGCATTCAGGTCAAGTTCGAATATGGTACAATATAAAAACCAGTAAGGAAAGTAGTAAAGTCGGACGGGGCCGACTATATGATACTCTTCACCACTTTGGGTATATTCAACAGATGAATCCTAAAAGATGTCGCATTTTAAAAGGGCCATCAGAATGAAATTTGATCCATAAACATGTCATTCTGCAACCTATACTAATTTTTCCATTTGGTCAGATATAGAAGCTATATCTAAATCCGAACCGATATCAACGATTTCAGGAAATTTAACACACATCATTCTAGACCTAATTCATTTCGCTGTGCCAAATTTCGTGCAAATCGAAAGATATTAAGGGACTTTGGTACACAATTTACCTTAAATTGGACGAAAATATATATGGGAGCTATATCTAAATCTGAACCGATTTTCACGAAACTTAGCACACATCATTCTAGACTTAATTGTATACGATATGATAAATTTCGTGCAAATCGAAAGATATATAGGGACTTTGGTGGACAATTTACATTAAATCGGACAAAAATATATATGGGAGCTATATCTAGATCGGAACCGATTTTCAGGAAACTTTACACACTTCATTCTAGACCTATTTCATTACGCTGTGCAAGATTTTGTGCAAATCGAAAGATATATATATGCACCAAAGGTGCACCATTTACATTAAATCGGACGAAAATATATATGGGAGCTATATCTAAATCTGAACCGATTTTCACCAAACTCAGCACACATCATTCTGCACCTAATACACAACGCTCTGCCAAATTTCGTGCGAATCGAATGATATAAAGGGAGTTTGGTGCACCATTTACGTAAAATCGGACGCAACTATATGTGGGAGCTATATCTAAATCTGAACCGATTTTCACGAAACTTAGCACACATCATTCTAGACTTAATTGAATACGATATGCTAAATTTCGTGCAAATTGAATGATATATAGGGACTTTGGTGGACAATTTATATTAAATCGGGCGAAAATATATATGGGAGCTGTTTCTAAATCGGAACCAATTTTCAGGAAACTTAGCACACATTATTCTATACTTCATTCATTACGCTGTGCCAAATTTCGTGCAAATCCAAAGATATATAGGGACTTTGGTGCAACATTTACATAAAATCGGACGAAACTATATATGGGAGCTATATCTAAATCTGAACCGATTTTTCACCAAACTCAGCACACATCATTCTGCACCTAATACAGAACGCTCTGCCAAATTTCGTGCGAATCGAATGATATATAGGGACTTTGGTGCACCATTTACGTAAAATCGGACAAAACTATATATGGGAGTTATATATCTAAACCTGAATCGATTTCACGAAACTTAGCACACATCATTCTAGACTTAATTGAATATGATATGCTAAATTTCGTGCAAATCGAAGACATAGCACCCTGTACCACAGGCTAGGGAAATGTTAAAAAAACTACTACCCTCTGTGCAAGATGGGTCTGAAAAATACATTTCATTTTATTGAACATCTTTATGAGGTTTAGGGTGGTATCACGTCCTACCATGGTAACACAAATCTAAACCTAAAAGAAGGCATACTTTGATCATTGAAAAAAAATCCTAAACAAATTTTGCTAAAATGTTGATACCTAAAGAATAATAAAAACCCCCCAGAAATGGAGATTGCGACAGACATCTTAATGAAAACATCTTTGATACCATCCAATCTAGCCGATGACCTGTTTAACATGTCAAATCTGAAATCTTAATGCCACTAAAACATATGCATGTCATTCGTATTCTTTGTTCGTAGAAAAAAAAACAAGAACCGAAAAAAACACTCCAACCATCACATGACGGATATTAAGGTTATATCTATATATCCGTACACAACCTTGATATTCATTTCCATTCACTCGCTATTCATTCACCTCCTGTATATTTTCGCATACATCCAAAAACATAAAACCCCATTCTACTAACAACCAAAAAAAGTACTTACCCGACATGGCAAATAAGCATGACTGCCCTCTTGCACCGTAACATTGTTTGGCCCCACCAAACTGGAATTTCTTCTGGGGATTTGTAGCTTTCGATGTTGTTGTCGGCGACGTAGCAATTGTTGCTTTTGTTGGTCGTCGCTATTATCGAAAAATAAAAGATTCTCCAGTGAACTCATATCGTCGGGTGACATGTGGTGATTTGATGGCGCCTCGGTCGTTGTGCTCGATACCGTATTTAAATATGCTGGCAAATCTGCCACAGCAAAGACGGGGAACGGTGGCAAATATGTGGGAATTGAAAATCCCTTCGTTAATAAATCCTTGGCCGCTTGTTCGGCTTCACTGAGTGGTGGTAAATCACTAGCGTCGTGAGTGTTCAAGATTGATGTCGGACCCGATAATAACTCACTGGAGGCATTGAAATCGTCCACTGTAAGTGGCTCATTCTCTATTTGTGTGGTTGCCGTTAAAGAGAATGATGAAAATGGTGATTTTTCAGCTGTTTCAATTGCCATCGGTGAGTCTGCGGAAGACAACGACGAGGAGGAGGATGCGGATGCAGAGGATATTGCAGATGGTGATGGTAATGGTTCACTGAGTGCTGCTGTTTCTAAGGTCTTTAATGCTGATGATGGTGATTTTCTCTCCATTGAAGTGGATATTGATGTGCCGGACATTGCTGATGCAACTTCTGAGTTTTCAGCTACTACTACTGATGATGATAACGACAGCGATGTCTGTATAGGTGGTGCTTGATATAAAGTTGTTGTAACCGTTGTTGCTGTTGTCATCGTCGTCAATGTGACAGGTAAGTTTGGTAAACTGTCAGTGATTTTGTAAGATTTATTTGTTGTCTCTGCGGGTATATGATGATGCTGACTGTTGCTGTTACTGCTGCTGCTAGAGCTGTTAGTGCTGACCTGTGTAATTGTTTTTAGTCTTTGTTCCAGTATAGCTGAGCTACTGCATATCGTAAACTCTGAAAGGAAAGAGAAAGAAAGAAAAAAACATAACATGAAATGTAACTAAGGTTAATTTGATTTCACTTTTTTTTAAATTACTTGATATCAGTAAAGTAGATGAAAAACAAAATTGTAATAACATTTTCGTTACAGATGTTCACTTCGTAAATTCAATCACAACTATCTTATTATAACAGCATTTTTAAGGAAAGAAAAATAAAATTTAGTTTACTTTGTATAACCTCCACATGATTGCTAAACGTGGCTAGAGCTAATTGAACATTTTCAATCAATCAATTTCAGATTTATACTCGTTGGAAGGGTGACATTTCGCAATAAAAAATGTGTTTTTTTTATTTGGCGCATTCAGTGGTGAGTTATGGGGTGTTCAAAGTGAAGTGAATAAAGAGAAAATTCGGCACATTTCACAGTTTTCTTTGATAAAGACGAAAATGCAAGCCAAGCGGCTAAAATGGACCCCGCACTGGGAGATACACATATATATCTCTGCCCCAATTCCAACAAAACATCGCATACATCAATCAGGACAATTCACGGACGTCAACCTGCGGTAATATCAATACGCTATGCCAACTTTTATCTCAAACGGACAAACATTGACAGTATGATGCACCATTCATATAAAATCAAACGAAACTATATATGGGAGCTATATCTGAATCTGAACCGATTTGAACAAAACTTCACAGACATCAAACTGGACTAAAATCAGTTCGTTGTGCTAAATCTTGGCTCCGTTGGACAAATATTGGGAGTTTGGTGCACCATTTACATAAAATCAGCGAAACTATATATATATATATATATATAAATCTGAACCGATTCCAATAAAACTTCGCATACATCAATCAGGATCTGATCCAGTGTGCAAAATCTTCTCTCAGTTGGGTCATAATTGGGAATTTAGTGCACCTTTTACATAAAATTGGACGAAACTATATATGGGAGCTATATATAAATCTGAACCGATTCCAACAAAACTTTGCGCACGTCAATATGGAATAAGTTCAGTGCGTTGTGCAAAATCTTGGCTCTGTCGGAGCCACTAGGAGATTGGTACTTCATTTACATAAAATCGGATAAATCTATATGTCATAGCTATATATGAATATGAACCGATTCGAAAAAAAGGAAAGCAGTAAAGTCGGACGGGGCCGACTATATCATACCCTTCACCACTTTCGGTATATTCAACAAATGAATTCCAACAGACGTCGCATTTTTAAAGGACCAGTAAAATGAAATTGGATCCATAAACATGACATTCTGCAAACGATACTAAATTTTTTAATTTGGTCAGATATAGAAGCTATATCTTAATCTGAACCGATTTCAAGAAATTAACGCATTCTAGCCCTAATTCATTGCGCTGTGCCAAATTTCGTGCAAATTGAATGATATATAGGGAAAATATATATGGAAGCTATATCTAAATCTGGTGCACCACATTTACCTTTGAATGATATATAGGGAGCACCATTGACCATTTACTTTAAATCGAAAATATATATGGGAGCTATATCTAAATCTGAACGGATTTTCACGAAACTTAGAAAACATCATTCTCGACCTAATTTAGAACTGTATGCCAAATTTCGTGCAAATCGAATGATATATAGGTACTTTGGTGCACCATTTACTTTAAATCGGACGAAATATATATGGGAGCTATATCTAAATCTGAACCGATTTTCACGAAACTTAACACACATAATTCTAGATTTAATCTATTATGCTGTGCCAAATTTCGTGCAAATCGAGAGATATATAGGGACTTTGGTGCACCATTTATATTAAATCGAACGAAAATATATATGGGAGCTATATCTAAATCTGAACCTATTTTCACGAAACTTAAGACACATCATTCCAGACCTAATCCATTACACTGTGCCAAATTTCGTGAAAATCGAATGATATATAGGTTATTTGGTGCACCATTTACATTAAATCGGACGAAAATATATATGGGAGCTATATATAAATCTGAACCGATTTTTCCCAATTTCAATAGGGTTCGTCCTTGGGCCAAAAAAGTGACCTATGCCAAATTTCATCCAAATCGGATCATAAATGCGACATGTACTTTTTTAACAAAAATACATGGACGGACGTACAGACGGTCGGAAATACGGACATGCTTAAATCGACTCAGAAAGTGATTCTATGCATATTCTGTTGTGAAGGGTATAAAAATCGCATGCATCAATCAGGACCTAATTGAATAATCTTGTCTCAATCGGGCCGTAATTGGGTATTCGGTGCACCATTTACATAAAATCGGAGCTATATCTAAATGTGAACCGATTTTATTCAAATAAGTGATCCGTGCCAAAGTTCATTTTGCTCGTGGACGGACGAACAGTCGGACGTGCATAAATCGACTCAGTTGTGATTCTATGCATATTCTCAAAAGAAATCATGAGTCCATCTTGATTTCTTTTGCCTGTTACACACATATGCATAAAGACATAATATCCATAGTGTGGTGAAGGGTATAATTAATTTTGTTGTCCATTTTCATCTCGTAAATATTATATTAACCGATCTTAACTGAAAGCAATAAGGGTCTTCTTTTAGCTGAACCGATCGTACATGCACAATATCGTAAGGATTTGTGCATAACTGTGTACTGTACTGTCTTTACGCAAATATGACAATCGGTATAATAAAAATGTCCAATATTTCGCTGCCTTACAAACTCTTGGGGTCACACTAAGCTATAATACCTTTAAACCATAGTTGTGTACCATATAGAATGATAAATGCTTCAGTGCGTAGCGTATAAAATGATTCTATATTTTCAGTATTTTCTTAATAATATTTATTTTGTATTATTATTCATATTCTCAATCGAAATGCAAATACTAAACACTGTTAAATCCCGTTAAGCTCTCAGAAAGAAAAAATTACTCTAGCATTTATTGCAAATATTGAATAATTCGGTTGCCAAGGACACAAACTCAACGTACGTGTTCCGATTACCAAAATGTATTTGCCATTTGTAAACAGACAAACGAAAAATGAAATAGATTTACAATCATTAAGTAAGAAATTTACGTAAATACTTCGAAAAACCATATTGGGCAACAACAAAGTTTCCGTCTTCTATTTTCATGTCATCGTATACGAAATTTTTTTTACACAAAACATCCCAACTGTTTCCGTAACCAATGCCATAATTTGCAAATGATACAATTGTTATATTCCCCACCCTTCGCACTCGATATTATATTGTGATGTTATTCCTAAACTAAGGAGTCAGTGTATCTTCCAAGAAAACAACAACAAAACAAACACTGTGTTAACATGTCATTAGTAATTCTGCCTACGATGTTGTTAAAGAGATAAAATTACCAAAATCGATTGACGTAGATATAATGGTTACGTAAAATGTTGTTCTTTTATCATTTCTCATAAAGAAAATAAATAATGCGCTTCGGTTGCCATGTTGCCAACATGGAATATCTTATGGAATATCAATATATATTTTTTTGTATTTTTTTTTCGGGGAAGGTCTTGCTTGCAAAAGGAATATCATCTATCGAATAAAATAGATAACAAGATTACAACACCTGATTTCTATGAAGGGCTTTTTTTGCATTCGTTGTGTATTTCAAGGAACCGTTAATTCAATATTCAGTATTAAAGAGAAATGTAACATAAAATTACATTTTATTTTATGACCCTATTTCGTGAATTTTTGATTAGGTGGTACAAATATTAAATAATAATAATGTTATTGCATTACTATGTTATGTTCCTAGAAAATGTCGATGGTTTTGAGAGATTTTGAATAATTCGCAAAATTGTTCCAACTGAATTTCCTTAAAGTTTAAACCTTTGGAATTTTTCAAAGAATTGCCTGATACTCTTAATATATTTGACATTAAAAATGTATACTTTGGTTTCGCCCCTTATAATAGTATTAACATTCCGACATATTTTGGTATTCCGGGTACGTGGACATTTTTATAGCCTTCACCACACTGTGTTACAGAGTATTATGTCTTTGTGTATATGTTTGTAACAAGCAAAAGGAATCGAGATAGACCCATGATTCCTTTTGAGAATATGCATAGAATCACTTTCTGAATATGCATAGAATCACATTCCGTCTGTCCGTCCGTCCGTCCAAGTAATTTTTGGAACAAAGTACTGCTCGCATTTTCGTCTGATTTTATGTAAATGAAGCACCAAACTCCCAATATTTGTCCTATCGGAGCAACATTTTGCACAGCGCTCTGAGTAAGGTCTATACTTATGTATGCGCAGTTTTGTTGGAATCGGTTCGATTTTATATGAATGATGCACCAAACTCCAAACATTTCTCCGATTGGAACAACATTTTGCACAGCGCTCTGAATAAGGTCTATTCTTATGTATGCGAAGGTTTGTTGAAATCGGTTCAGATTTAAATTTAACTTTCATATATATTTTAGTCCGATTTTATATGAATGATGCACCAAACTCCCAATATTTGTCCGATTGGAACAAAATTTTGCACAGCGCACTGAATCAAGTCCCTATTGATGTATGCGAAGTTTTGTTGGAATCGGTTCAGATCGTGCGAATCACATAAAATCGTCCGATTTTATGTGAATGATGCACCAATGTTTGTCCGATTGGGACAACATTCTGAACAGAGTTCGGAATCAGGTCCAGACTGATGTCTACGAAGTTTCGTTAAAATCGTTCAGATTTAGATATAGCTCCCATATAAAGTTTCGTTCCATTTTCCGTCCCATTTGATACACCAAACTCCTAATATTTGTCAAATTGAGCAAAATTTAGCATAGGAATGCAAATAGGGAAAAATATGATGTTTGATAAGGTTTTTTTGAAATCGGTTCAGATTTTGATTTAGGTCTTATATATATTATCGTTCGAATTTATGTATATGGTGCACCGAAGGGCCTATGTTTTTCGATATACACGAAATTTGCAGAGGGTATTAAATTGAATATAGAGTGTTCTCATACATAATTTAACTCGA